GTGTATTTATAGACTAACATTCTTGATACATTTCATTAAGCTAACACATGCATTTTAGTCACAGGAAAATATTAGTTTTGTCAAATGTAAAATTTTGTTTCAAAAAGTAACATGAATAAATCCATCTCTAGATATCATTTGACTGTTGTTAATCTTGCTTCTCTTATCACCATAATACAGTCCTTTGTGTAGTAACTAAATATAAAAAGTTACTCTTCACCCCAGAATAGCCCCTAGGGGTTCTAATCACTAACAACACATGAAAAACTTATCATTGACTAAATATGTCATCATCTTTTTTCTAATCTATCTGGTGCTCTTTTCCAAAACTGAAGTTTTGAATCTTCAATGAAATGCTTTATTATCCACCAACATTTGAATGTTAAACACAAAACTAAAACCGAAAATATCTGCTGTCATTTACAGCAAAATAAAAGACTATAACCAAACACAGTTCAGCCTGAATAATTATTCCTGATGATTTGAATGCCATAAGATTTTTAGATGAATAAAATATTTCAAATATTTTATACTTTAAGACCCATTAAGTCCCAAATTTCCAATTAATTTAATGAAATTATTTCAAAGTTACCATAAGTGGTATATTGTTGCTCAATTTAAGATCTATAGGTGTTCCACATCTGGGTCACTGGGACAAAATGGGTTTAGAGGGCAATGTGACAATAAAGTAAATAGTAGTGTGTAACGAACTTAGTAAGTATACTAAAGTCTCAAAAAATGTTCACGAGACCTCTCCCTTACTCCAATATATGTATTTACTCACTAATTGTAGTCAAATTACTTAAATAAGGCATCTTAAATATAACCACTTTTAAAACATTTGATTTTCTGAATTTAGTTCTATATAAAGTTAAAAGCACAATTAAAATTAAGCAAGACAGATTAGCACATAAAGTCATGAACAGTAGAGACCAGATTATGTAGAATATTTTAAATGATTATGACTTTTATTCTAAGTGATATGGGGAAGTGCTGGAGAAATTAAAGAAATGTCATGATTTGATTTATATTTGAAAATGGTTACCCAGGCTACTATGTTGAAAGACTATAACTAGAAAAAGGCAGAGAAACAGGATAGCGAAAAGTTACAACTAAGAAAAGATTGTGACTTTTAGATTAAGATGCAGTAGAAGGGGTAAAAAAGTAGTCAGACTATTATTTTGAAGGTAGAGCCAAAAGATTTTGTTATCAACTTGAATGTGAATGTGAATGTGAAAAAGAGAGGAGACTAAAAACATATCTTATTTAGGGCTAAACAACAGGAAAAACAAAACTGCAATTTGCTGAATTGAATTAAATTTATGGGAAGAACAGGCCTGGAGAGGAAGCTCAGGAGTTCAGTTTTGGATGCTTTAAGTTTGAGATACCCAAGTGATGGGCTGGGGTTGTGGCTCAGCAGTAGCTAGCACATGTGAGGCCCTGGGTTTGATACTCAGCACCACATAAAAATAAATAAATAAATAAATGGATTGTATATAACTACAACTAAAAATAAATATTAAAAAAAAAGAGCTACCCAAGTGAAAATGGTAGATACACAGTTGGCTACCTGCAACCAGATTTCAAGGAAGGAAAAAGATCTGGAATAGAAATACATTTAAAACTTAGCCTCTGGATGCCATTTAAAGCCATGATACTGTTTAAGATCATTAAAAGAGTCAGTGTAGTTACAGAAAAGGTACAAGGACTGAATCTTGGGGCAATAAAACATTTAGGGGTCAGGTGCAAAATAAGGAACTATCAAAAAAAATATAGTATTTCAAGGAAGAAAAATGATTAAATTGACTAATGCAGCTAGCTGATAGGTCAAGATGAGAACTTGGAAATAAATCAAATACAAAAAGGATGTTGGCACAGAAGTATTCAATAAAGCACTATTAGAGGGAAAAAAATCAGAAAATACCTAAACACCTCCCAATAGGAAATAATAAATAATAACAAATATACTCAATGGAATATATACAACTATTAAAATGATAGTTAAGATTTCACACACATGCTTACGACATACTACTGGTTACTAAAAAAATCCAAGACATAATTAAAAGATATTATAAAATCACAACCATACAAAATTACATATACTTTTTATATTTAAAAGGAAATAAATGGATTGTGGGCTATTAGTACTTTTTGTATTTTTCAAATAAAAACACAAATGAAACTTTCTAGTAAAGGTTAGCCTGAGGTTTTATGTAGGTCAGCGGTACATCCCTTGCCTAGTAGTTTGAAAAGCGTTGGGTTCCATCCTCAGCACAGCAAAAAAAAAAAAAAAAAACAAAAACAGTTAGCTTGGAGCACCTAGTACAATTATATAGCTTTGTTCATAGATAAACCTACAAAGGCAAAGACTGAAGACAGATTAATAGTGATAGAAAAGTCTTAGCTATTTATTTCTTCATTTAAATGAAACAATTGGAGAGTTTAGATTATTAATCAAACATTTAAATATTCCTTCACACGTCTATCATTTGTATAAGTCACATTTTGTTCTAAATCTTCCTATCTTGCACTTGTTAGAAAAGAATGAAAATATATTATCATATGTATTCTGACACAGATTATAAGGGTAAAACTGCCTATAAGAGGAAGTCTGACTTTAACAATATGAAATTTCTCAATCTCCACTTTCATCTAAACTTCCAGAAACAAATGTGGTATTGACACAAACAGATAAGTGTGTGTCTTATCTTCCTATTCCCCTGAACACTTAACTCTCCCTAATACTTTAATAGCCAATGCCTGTGGCACAATACTTTATCATGTCCCATAAATCCTCCATCTGCATTCAAGGTGAGAATGATTATACAAATTCTACATTATATCTTGATAATTTGAGTAATGCATTTTAAATGAGATTTAATATGTGCATAGCAGAATTAATATAGAGTGTTGGACACTGGGATTCTAGGCATGTGCATAAACTTTCTATTAAGGTCCCCCCCCCACCCCTAGTACTAAGGACTGTACCCAGGAGCACTCTTAACACTGAGCTACATCCCCAACCCTTTTCATTTTGAGACAGGATCTGACTAAATTGCTGAGGCTGGCCTTGAACTTGTGATCTCCCTGCATTAGCCTCCTGAGTTACCGGGATTACAGGTGTGCAACATTAAGCCCAGTTCCTATTAGTTCTCTTGGAAATGATTCCCCTCCTTACATGTTCTTGCCATGTAGTTGTTTTGTTGTTGTTGTTGTTGTTGTTTTGCACTGATGGGAATCAAACCCAGGCACATTTTATAAAAGTCCTCTAGATGATTCTGATATAAACCTCTGATTAAGAATGGAGGTTCCTGTCTGTACAGTGGCACATGTCTATAATCCCAGCAACTGTGGAAGCTGAGGTGTAAAGGCTGCAAATTGAAGGCCAGCCTGGGCAACTTAGCAACACTCCATCTCAAAGTAAAAAAAAAATTTAAAAAACGGCCGGTGATGTAGCTCAGTGGTAGACCACCTGCATAGCATGTATGAGGCCCTGGGTTCAATCCCTAGCACTGCCAAAAAATAAATTTTAAAAAAATAAAAAAGAATGGAAGCTCTAAATTCATTGTATAAATCAGTGGTTCTTATGCTTTAGAGTTCATCAGAATCACCTAGAGAGCCAACTAAAATACACATTACTGGATCTGATCTTTTTTATTCAAAGGCCTCAGATTCAAAAAATTGTCATTTCTAAGAAGCACCCAGGTGATATTGATGCCACTAATCTAGGAACCAAACTTTGAGAATTATTAGCCTACACCAAATAAATCAGTACTTAAATCTTCAGAAAAATCCTTATGGGAGAGGTTTCCAAGAACAGCATCCATAACCAATATGTGTTGGCTCAACCTACATCATTCAACAGACATTTATTATGTGTGAATGTCAAAGTATAGAACTCAAACTATCAAAACCAATCACTCCTGAGAACTTGTTAGAAATGCCAGCTTCCAAACTCCACCCAGAAATACTGAATCAGAAACTCCAGGGTAGGGCCTTGAATTCTGTTTCAACAAATTCTCCAGGTAATTCTAATGCACACTGCATCTTGGAGAACCATGGGATTACGGCATAGCATAATTATCTCTGTTAAAAACATACAAAAGCTACCTTCCTTCAAGAAGTTTATAAATATGGCACTTGCCTAGCCTAGCATGCATGAGATTTGGGTTGGATTCTGAGCACCAGGGGCAGGGGGATTTATAAATATGCCAAGGGAAGTAAAATACCAAAACTAAAAACACTTATAAGATGCTATCAAGTATTAAATGAACAGTATAGTCTTAAATAGCTCCAAATTTCAGTGGAAACATGAATATTAAAAACTAAAGGAGGGCTGGGGATGTGGCTCAAGCGGTAGCGCGCTCGCCTGGCATGCGTGCGGCCCGGGTTCGATCCTCAGCACCACATACAGACAAAGATGTTGTGTCCGCCAAATACTAAAAAATAAATATTAAAAAAAAAAAAATTCTCTCTCCCTCTTTCTCACTCTCTCTCACTCTTTCTTTAAAAAAAAAAAAAAAAAAAACTAAAGGAAACTGCAATCAAAAATTTAAAAAAAACAAAAACTTATAACCTGGTCAAAGATTCCTAAACTAAAAAATATTCTAAGATTTTTACATACATGAAAAAGTTAATTAGTAGATTTCATGTGAGAATATAAGATTTCTATAATATTAATAAAAGACTTTTTGGTTATCATTTACTTCATTTTTAAATGCTGGCATAAGAGTTTTACTTGCTTGGTCAGCATATAAAATTTACTATGTCTTTATTACATATTTCATTTGCTATATTTTCTATATCTTTACTATGTTTTTCATTTTTATTTTATCTCATTCATTACTGTATTTTCACAAAAAGTCACAGGCTAACTGAACATCATATTTTCTATGGATATTTCTCTACTCCTCTGCCAAATATTCAACACCTCAAATGACTTACATAAAATTAAAATGCATGGGGCTAGGGTTGTGGCTTAGTGGTAGGGCACTCACCTCTCATGTGTGAGGCACTGGGTTCGATCCTCAGCACCACATAAAAATAAAATAAAGGTATTGTGATCACCTACAAACAAAAAATCTTTTTTAAAAAATGCATAATGGTAAAAAATTAATATGACAGATTATATCAAAGACAATACTTACCCTTATCATTAGTATTTTCTTAAAAAAGGCTTACTGGGCTGGGGTTGTGGCTCAGCAGAACACTTGCCTAGCATGTGCGAGGCCCTGAGTTCTATCCTCAGCACCACATAAAAATAAATAAATAAAATAAAAGTATTGTGTACAACTAAAAAAATAAATATTAAAAAAAAAAGGCTTACTGATTCAGAAAAGTGCTGAATATGTACAATCAAGAAACAGAAAACCAACCAGTCACAGTGGTACATGCCTGTAATCTCAGCAGCTCAGCAGGCTGAGGCAGAAAGATCATGAGTTCAAAGCCAACCTCAGCAAATTAGTAATCTCTAAATAAAGTATAAAAGGGCTGGGGATGTGACTCAACAACACCCAAAACAAATTATCAGTAAACTAAAAATAATTTTACAAAAGCAAAAGCAGATATGAGAAATTAATTTTTTTAATATCTTTTTTTAGTTGTTTATTTATATGTAGTGCTGAGAATCGAACCCAGTGCCTCACACATGCTAGGCAACCACTGAGCCACGACCCCAGACTGAGAAATTAATTTAATTATCAAAGTTTAAAGGACAGAAAATTCTCTTCATTTTTAGCAACAGATATTTATTCAAAAGAGCTGTCCAAAGAGCATGTTATGACAAGGAGTAAATAACAGAAATATTTATTAGATGCTTCAAACCTTTTAATTAAATTAAAGAAGAAACAAATCAAGATTGCCTAATCCCATTAACTAGTACAACTGTGAAACAGGAAATCAAAACACAGAAAACAAACTCATTATTTATTAAATAGAGATTACCACATGCCAAATTCCATCTAAACCTTATCTATAAGAACAAAACAGAAATTCCAAGATATTCCTAATGGTTTATTTAAGAGCAGTACATTTATACAAATTATTTTTAATTCACATATGCCTAACAAAAGTTATTTCAGTTTACTTCAATGAAAAAGTAATAAAATACCTATCAGAAGATATAAAAAACTTTAAGCTATTCTAGTAGGTCTAATTGTTAGACCTACTAGGCAAGTAGGTCTAGTAGATATAACAATCAAAATCCTCTTCAACAACATAAAGTAAAATTTAAGTAATTAGCTAATGTTATTCTCTCAGCTTTTCAGAATGAAAATAGTTAATCAACCAAAATCACTATCTTATTAGTAACAAATTTAAGTGCCTTAATATATTTAAAAAATTAATTATTTTATCATTTACTTAAGAATAAAAACAAGAGCCAGGTACAGCTGTGCATGCCTGTAATCCCAGCTACTTGGGAGGCTGAGGCAGGAGGATTCCAAGTTCAAGGCTAGCCTCAGAACTTAGCAAGGCCCTGAGCAACTCAATGAAACACTGTCTCTAAATAAAATACAAAAAAGGGCTGGGAATGTGACTCCAGTGGTTAAGTGCCCCTCAGTTCAATCCCCAGTACCAAAACATAAACATACACACACACACACACACACACACACACACACACACGAGAGAGAGAGAGAGAGAGAGAGAGAGAGAGAGAGAGAGAGAGAGAGAGTTCACCAAATTGAAAAAAAAAAAAAAATACTCAAGGAACCAAAGAATAAAATACAAAGGAAATTAAACACTTGTACACTGAAGATTAGAAAACATTACTGACAAAAATTAAAGAGGACCTAAATAAATGGAAAGACATTCCTTATTTATGGATAGGAAGACTCAATATTAAGATGTCAATCCCAAAGTGGTCTACAGACCCAAAAACCCCTATCAAAATTCCAACAGCCTTTTATGCAGAAATAGAAAAGTCAACTCTCAAATTTATATAGAAATGCAAGAGGTTCTGATTTGCCACAACAATCTTGAAAAAAAACAAAGTCAGAGGACTTACCTATCCCAATTTCAAAATTTTACTACAAAGCAACAGTAATCAAAATACTAATAATACTGGCATAAGGACAGACCTATAGACAAGTTGAAATGAGAGTCTAGAAATAAATTCATAAAACTTTAGTCATTTTTGTTTTAGTTTTTGTTTGTGCAGTGCTGGGGATTGAGCCCAAGAATTCATGCATAGAAGGCAAATGCTATACCACTTAGTTAAATCAGCCTTGCCCTGTTGATTCTTGACAAGACTGCCAATTCCACCAATAGGGGAAGAACAGTTTCATAAACAAATGGAACTGGCACAACTGGATTTCCAAGTGAAAAAAGGGAAACCCTCTCTTAAAATAAAAAATAAAAAGGGGTGGGATATAGCTCAGAGGTAAAGCACCCCTGGGTTCAATCCCTGGTACAAAAAAAAATTATAATTTAAAAATATTTTTAAAAGTTTCTACTTGGAGTGATGAAAAGGTTTTAGTAATGTTGTAAATATAACTAATGACACTGAACTGTGAAAATGTTGCTGGGTTCGGTAGCACACGCCTGTAATCCCAGAGGCTCAGGAGGCTGAGGCAGGAGGATCACACACACAAAAACAGTTTAAAATGGCAAATATTGTGTGTGTGTGTGTATACATACACACACATACATATTTTAACCACAATTTTAAAATATACAAAAAAATCACTGAATTGCATACCTTAAATGGTTGAATTGTATGGTATGTAAATTATATCTCAATAAAGCTGCTTAAAAAATTAAAAAAACTGGGCTGGGGTTGTGGCTCAGTGGTAGAGCACTTGCCTTGTACGCATGAGGCATTGGGTTCAATCCTCAGCACCACATAAAAAAAATGAATAAAATAAAGATATTGTGTTCATCTACAACTAAAAAAAATTTTTTAAATGAAAAAACATTAAACTAAAGTCTAAATGGCATTAACTAGATATCACTGATGTAGAAGGTATGACAATTGGGTCAAAGACTGAGCTGAAGCCTTTTATTTTAAAATTAAAATGAGACAAGATTGTAGAGAAGTCTAATCCTCTTAAGTGAACTTCTAATTATTTAAAATCCACTAAAAGATCCTTTCCTAACCCTAAAATTCTAGGAATCCTTTTTTTTTTTTTTTTTGTACCAGGGATTAAATTCAGGGGAACTTAACCACTGATCCACATCCTCAGTCCATTTTTGTATTTTATTTGGATACAGGGTCTCACTGAGTTGCTTAGAGCCTCACTAAATTGCTGAGACTGGCTTTGAATTCATGATCCTCCTGCCTCAGCATCCCTATCCCTGGGATTACAGGTAAGAGCCATCATGCATGGCTATTCTTATATTTTCATTAAAGCATATTTCTAAAGAGCCTTTCTTTATACTTTTGTTGTGCTAATTCAACATATATAATCAAGATATAAAATGTCTTTGCAAAAGATTTTTTTTTCTTGAAATAGTGCTTTTACAAATTTAGAATGCGGCACAGTTTCCCCCAACCTAAGCTAAACTTGAAATACTAAGTCTGGGAGCATAGCTTAATGGCCCTGGGTTCAACCCCCAGGATTTGAAAAAAACAAAACAAACAAACCATATACTTATGAAGATCAAACTGCTTACTTACTTGTAAACATTTAGGAGAAAGGAGGGGAGAAGATACAGAACTAGGGAAATGTAAAATCATCAAGAAAGGGATAACCAAAATTGTCAAGTTCAGTAAAGAGAAAAATAACTGGATTTGGCAATTAGGAAGTCACTACTGACCTAATACACACTGTAGGGAGAGGGGAGCAAAGGAGTTCAAAATATGAAAGTGGGAAATTTTCAGTGCTCTTTCAAAAAGGCTAGCTGAGAAGAAACATTGTAAAAGAGGATGGAGGGCTGGGGCTGGGGCTGGGGCTTAGTGGCGGAGCACTTGTGTGGCATGTGTGAGGTACTGAGTTTGATCCTCAGCACTACATAAAAGTAAACAAATAAGATAAAGGCATGCTGTCCATCTAAAAGAGGGTGGAGATGATCAAGAAGACACAGGGATATCCTGAAAGATAGACGAAAGAAAGAAAATAATGCTAAAGGTCTGCAAAGTGTTCACCCTTGCTCCAAATAGTATATCTAACTTCTGTATCATCCTTATGAAGCATGAGATGGTAGGGAGGAAGGCAGACTTTTTTTCTCTTTTTAATTTTTTGTTTTTTTAGTTGTTGATAGACTTTTATTTTATTTATTTATATGCAGTGATGAGAATCGAACTCAGTGTCTCACACATGCCAGGCAAGTGCAGTACTGCTAAGCCACAGCCACAGCCTCCTTTGTTTTTATTTTTAATTTATTTTTTATTTATCTTTCTTTTTTTTCTTATTTTCTTTGTATCAGCATTTACAAAAGAATCTTGCACACAGGAAACATAATAAATGTTGGTTGTGCAAATATTTCAGCTCTCCCTCCATGTTATCTATTTATTCTTAGTGCTCCCCTGCCCTTCTGGCTACTCCTTTGGGTACATATTTAAATAGAAACAGTCTAGAATATAAAAAAACTTCCCACCAGACAATGAATTAATGTAATTAAGAACAAATAGTACATGTTATATACTAATAGTTTTGGTAAAGCAATGCATTCCAAAATGTTCCTGTCATTTATTACATTCTTCTTTTTTGAGGGGATCGAACCCAGGGACACTTTACCACTGAGCTATATCCCAGCTTTTTTTTTTTTTTTTAAGATGTTGATGGGGGGCTGGGAATGTGGCTCAAGCGGTAGCATGCTGGCCTGGCGTGAGTGCAGCCCGGGTTCGATCCTCAGCACCACATACAAACAAAGATGTTGTGTCCGCCAAAAACTAAAAAAATAAATATATAAAAAAAATTTTTTTTTTTAAAAAAGATGTTGATGGTCCCTTATTTTATTCATTTATTTATATGCAGTGTTGAGAATCAAACCCAGTGCTTCACACATACTAGGCAAGCGCTCTATCACTAAGCCACAACTCCAGGCCCATATCCCAGCTCTTTTTATTTTTTTGAGACCTATCTAACTAAATTGCTTATGGCCTCAGTAAGTTACTGAGACTAGCCTCAACTTCTAATCCTCCTGCCTTAGTCTCCTAAACCGCTGGGATTACAGGTATATACTATTGCATTAGGTTTACTTGCTTATTTCTAACTCCACACAGATTATACATAAATTATGTGTTTTCTTATCATATCCATCTCACAAACAAAAAAGAAAAAAAGAATTTAAACAAAACTAGTGTACTTAAATTCCAACAAGGTATCCTTTGCTCTTCTGAAAAAGACTCAAGACTAGATCATTTAACTTGAAAGGGAAAAGAGTTTCGTAATATAAGACTCTCTTTATGCATAAGTGCTATAAGAGAAGTTCAAAATTCATGAATTCCTAACTTGGGCAGGTGGTGCATGCCTGTAATACCCAGTGTCTTCGGAGGCTGAGGCAGGAGGATTGCGAGTTCAAAGCAAGCCTCAGCAATTTAGCAAGGTGCTAAGCAACTCAGTGAGATCCTGTCTTTAATAAAATACAAAAAGGGCTAGGGATGTGGCTTAGTGCAATCCCTGGTACCAAAAAAAAAAAAAAAATCATGAATTCCTAGATATCACAGCACCCACATTTATTTTTTTCTAGTACACATTGATCAAATACTATATGCAGTTTATCCACCTGGAAAAGGCTCAACTGAATATTAATTTGTAACTAAAATCAAAACAAAATTGTCTAGTCTAATTAAGTTTAACACTAATCCCTTTATACTTCATCAATAATTCTCATCCAAATTTACTAAAACTCTTCTTTCTACTAATAAGTAATTTCTCCTTTTGACAGAAGTAGAAGGAGAATAAAATGACCAACATAAAAATAGGAGCTAAATTAGCATACATAAATAATACTGGGTCAATAAAGCCTTTTTCATTATGTAATATATCACCCTAAGACCAAAAAAAAAAAAAAAAGGCAATTAAAAACACTGCAAATGGTAAAAAGAAAAAGGTAGTTGCTTAAAATACAAATAAGAAATGTTTGGTATTGATGGTGACTAAAAGCTCCATAATAAGGTATAATTAGCACAAAAAGTAAAAATAAAAATAGCTGGGCACAGTGGCACAGGCCCATAATCCCAGCAACTCATGAGACTCAGACAAGTTCAAGGCCAGCCTCAGCAACTTAGTGAGG